ATTTCCCACTGAAGACACAGGATACTGGGCTCAACCATGGCCTCCTACAGGGTCCGGTGTGTCAAGCCTTTCCTAGTGAGTGAAAGACCCAGCAGGGACATTGGTTTCCCACGGTGACTCTACTCTAATAAGAGGCAAGGAATTCGGTGTCGTGGGCATCCCGGTGGACACACCCCTCGCCGTTCATCCTTCAAAGCCCTGAGTTGCTGCCCTGCGCCCCGGCTTTCCAAGGTCAAAAACGCCTTTGGCAGGTGGTGGCCTTTGTCCTCTCTTTTGTCTTTTCTCGTGAAGGTCTTGAAGAGGAGACTTCAAGCGGACGCCCTGCAGGCAGGGGTTCTCTGAAACCGACCCGGAGCTGTGAAACCACCATGGCCTCGGTGGTGCTGAGGATGCAGGGCTGAGGGCTCCGCTCTTAAGCTCTGATTTGAAGTGCTGAGCATTTGTGTCAATCAAAAACATCAGCTGGGGTTGGCCTTTTGTCTTGGAGGACGACCAGGGATCTCGCATGTACGAAGGAAACGTAGCCTTGCTGACTGGAGCTCTTGCCAGCACAAAGGTCCGAGGCCAGTGCATAGGCCAAGCGATGGCTTTGGCCGCAGTGGGTACATGTGAACCACACACACACCTTCGCCCCTTCCCGCCTCCCGTGCACTGAGTCACGAAGTGCAAATCAAACACTTTTATTTTCTGATTATCTCTCTGTTTGATGGATGGCAGATGCCAGTGCAGTCAAAATATAAACAGATTCCATTCGGAACATTTCAAAGAAGAAACCAGACGCTCCAGAGAGCAGAGGACAGCGCTCCTTCTGACGCCTAGCGGAGCTTCACCGGGGAAAATTATTTTCCATAACCTTTTTTTTTTTCCATTTAAATTAAGCTTCGCCGGGGAAGTTTGGCAGTAGCGCAAGGCTCCTAATTTGGTGCCCCTTGACCTCTGCAGCCTTGATTGGCAGTTTGTTGTTGGGCTGAAGTTGTGCCTATGAGGTACGAGGGAGCAGAACAAATGCCCTCGGACAGCTCTGCGTCCCCGAGGGCCCAGGCAGAGCAGGGAGAGTGTGCAATTAGAGAGGTCTTCACACAGAAAGTTAATTAGCTACTAAATAGCATTTAGCACAGTTTATGATGGGAAATGCATGTCTGAAAGCAAATGGAAACCAATGAAAAATCGCGGCCACAGGACAAGGGCCACCCTGGCCAGCTGGCATTTCACCCCCCCAACCCCCGCCCTCCGTGTCTGACTCAACGCCAGGGTTTCAGGGTGTGGGGCGGGCGTTCCCTAGTAGGGTAAAGGGAAGGACCCCAGCATGGCCCGTGAGATAAACCAGCCAGGTCCCCAGGAGCTGTCCCCGCTGCGAGTGAGAGCCAGCCACTCCAGGACCCACAGGGAGATGGCCCTGAGCAATGTCTTCCTGGCCTTGGAGTGGCTGTCCTGCCTCGCACACACTGCCCACCTTCCTTGTCAGAAAAATTAGATAAGTGTCAATACTGGATTGAATAGTGTCCCCCCAAATTCATATCCCATCAGAACCTCAGAGTGGGACTTTTTGGGGAAGGGTCTTTGTGGATGTAATTAGGATCAAGATGGGGTCATACTGGAGTAGGGTGAGCCCTGCATCCAGTGAGAGGCCTCATAAGAGACAGAAGTGGACACACGACACAGGGAGAAGGCCACGTGAAGATGGGAGGCAGAAATCAGAGGGAAGCGTCTACAAGCCAAGGACCGCCAGGGGTCCCGGCAGCCACCAGCTGCTGGAGGAGCCTGGGAGGGTTCTGCTCTAGACTTTCAGAGGGAGCGCAGCCCATGGACTCCTTGATTTTGGACTTCTGCCTCCAGAACTATGACAGAATAAATTTCTGTTGTTTTAAGGCCCCCGGTTCGTGGTAATTTGTTACGGCAACCCTGGAAAGCTAAGAGTGTCGCCAGCCACGATAGCATTCCTACCTCACTGGGTCCATGGGGACGGGAGACCCAGTGTAGGCGCTGATGTCTGAAATCAGAGAATGGCTGGTGGGCAGGCAGAAACCAGAGGGCCCAGCGTGGCCCAGGAGGGAGGGAGGCAGGGAGGGAGGCGGTAAACCGCCTCTGTTTTCTGTTCCCATCTAAGTACTGGCTTAGGCGTGGTTTTATTTCCTACTTGTTTTATTTCCCTATTGAAACTGGTTTGCTGGGGGTAATTTTTTGTTGCTAGAAGGTCAGTTTTTGCTTTGTCTTGTTTTCTGTTTGTTTGTTTTTCCTTTGATGTTTTTAATGATTTGGGGGGAGGTTGTTTTTTAATTATAAAAGTCACAGCTGCTTACTAAAGAAATTTTGGAAAATAGGGAAAAGGCAAAAGAGAAGGGAACGACATTTGACCTCGGTTCTGTACCCAACACAGCCATCGTTCACATTTTGGTGTATTTCCTCTGGCCTTATGTTTTTTTATATTTATCCTTTTGTTTCTGATGCCTAAGTTATTTTACAGAGTTGCAGACATGCTATTTGTAAAATGTGGTTTCTGGGTTTAAAAATAAATTTTTTTTATTTTGTTACATTTGATACATGCAAAAATACAGAGGGTACCCAAAAAAATGTATACACATTTTAGGAAAGGAAAAAGTTGTATTAAAACTGTGATACTCAATGTATACCAATAACAAAAGATGAATACAAGTCATAAGTATACATTTTGGGGGCACCCCCGGTATATGTAACACGTATAAGCCATGCAGCATGATAATAACATGAACCCCATTGCCCAGGGCACAGCTACATGATGCACTGGGACCAACCGGGCCCCCACAGGCTCTCCCCAGCCCCAGCCCCTGTAATCCGGTCGCCGGAAGGAATCACTTTCTGGAATGCTGCGTGCTTCATTTCCTCACTCTTTTAAAGCAGGTTGTCCACATATGTGTACACTTCCCAACAATACATCAATTAGTTTTGTCTGATTGTGAGCATTATAAAAATGTCATCATCCTTTGCAGTCTTCTGTGATCCAGCTGTGTGTGTCGAGGACGCTGTGGTTCACTTACTCTGACCGCTGAGCAACACTCCAAGGGACAAGTGCTCTCAGCCTTCCTGTGTCCTTGTCCTCACCTTTTGGTTTGTTTGGGAGGTCTTTCTCTGTGAGCAGTGGCCCCTGTAGCAGTTCTGCGTGCATGTGAGCTCAGCTCCCTGAGATGCAGCAGTTACCTTGCACGGGCATTGGTCCAGCTTACACTCCCAGCCCCCAGGATTGCGTGAGTTCCATCCGCTATTCTCATTTCACGTCCAATCATAAATTCCTCGCGAACTATCGTCTTCTTCGTGGCCCTCATGTTTGAGGCCTCCACAATATCCTATTGGGTAGATATCTGACATTTCACTTGACCATGTTCACTCATCTCGAGGACATTTCGCTGTTTCCGATTTTCTGCTCGTCCTGTGAGAAACACGGCTGTGCTTGGTTCCGTACACAATGCCGTTACCCCTCCACAGGTCCCCAGACACATTTTAATTTGGGCGACATGTTGCCCATTACTTCTTTAAGGGGTTGAGCCTCGGTCATGGACAAATTCACAGATGTGCACATATGTACAAATATGTGTGTGCACACACAGACACACAGAGGTTCCATGTGTACATATGTGCAAACCAAGGTTCGATGCGTGACTTTGTGTGTGCATGGAGGTTGATTGCATACCCATGTACACACACGCACACACACTGAAGTTCAATGCGATGTTATTTGTTTTACAGAAAAATTAAAACAGGAACTCCCAAGTCTTTGTCTATAGAGAATGTTTAAATAAATACTTGGAACTTGAAACAGCCTTTCAAAAGAGGTGTGGCTGACCTGGTGTCCGGACGGGACAGAAGCCCTAAATATGGTCACAGAAAAAGCCAGCTGTCGAATGGCACTGGCAACGCGATCCTATTTTTGCCTTAACCTGTGTGTGTGCGCACAGAGGTCGCCCCAGAGGGCCGTGGGGCCCACTGTTCCTGGAGTTTCTGTGAAGGAGCAGAACTGAGTCTGAGCGGACGCTGCTGAAAGAACAGGAGACGGACAGTGCAGTTTTGTAAATTGACGGACTCCGGAGTGTCTGGCTTTGTCCGACGGATTTGATGAGTAGATGGGGAAGGGAGGGACTTGACCTTCCACGTTTCCTGGGGCAGGAGGGGTGCCCGCTGCAGGGGGTCCTCCCACCGTTAGCTTCCACCCGCTCTGAAATAAACCACTGCAGATACATGGGCTAAAGCCCAAGTTCATTTGCATTTCTTTGTGACTGAAGATGCTCGTATTTCTGTGTGTTTATTCACTTTGTTTCTTCTGTGACGTATGTGTTGTCATTGGCCCATTTTCCTCCTGGAGTCTGTGATTTTTATAGAAGAGCACATCAAAGAGGAAGGTGTTAACCCCCCTCTGAGGGTCCCCAAAAGCCCCCTCCAGGACCACCCTGTTGGAGTCATGTCCATGGAGATGCATCGTCTCCCTGGGGTCTGTCATCCATGACGCTCAGGCATCTCCATCCCTTCGATCGGCTCAGAGGACAGACAGTCGCTTGGTAGTCTGGGCTGTCGGTGAACTTTGGTGCGAAGCGCTGAGTCGGGCTGACAGAGGATGGCCAGCCCTCCCCCCACACCCCACACCCCACCCCCACCTCCCCCGAGAAGCGCCCGAAGCACAGCCTTTCCAAGCCCATTCTCCCCGGGTTGCTGAATAGCCGTCTTGCTCTAAGAACATCCTGTGGGCCAGAGTCCCAATCCTGGTTTGCCTTAGATGCCCTGAGCCACGCCAGGCAATGACTCTGCCAAAGGATGCTGTTTGTCAATCTGGAACCAGGCCCAGGGGACAAAGAGACTCGAGTGGCATGGGGGGAGCGTCGTAGGAAGAGAGGAAGAACCAAAACAAGTCCCGTGTGGCACCGCTCATGGGATGCAGCGGCGTAAAAAAATCCAGGTTTTGGTGTCAGCTGTGTGGATGGAATTTAAATAAGCACAGATGAATAGCCAGTGCCCCACCAAAGAAAGCAGGTGACTTTATTATTCATTATCACTGTGATTTGCCGTGTTTGGTTGGGAGTGGTAGAGAACAGCCAGGCCCCAGTCGCTGACCCCTCCCCTCGACACCAGCAGCTCCAGGTCAGCTCTGGGTGGGAGTCCCACATCACTCACAGCTCCCCGGTCACTCACTCAGCCTGCAGGGACTGAGGGTGACACCTGGCTGAGTCCCGGGAAGTCACTCTGAGCATCCTGGAGGGTATGTTGGGCAGAACTGGTCAGCACTGGCTGCCTCTGCTACAGGGGCTCCCGAAGTGGTTCACAGGGACCGGGACTGGCTGCAAATGGGAAGGAGCCACGTGGAGTGACGCGAAGGCCAGATCTCAGCATCCAGAGGCCCTGGCCTCCAGCCCCGCCTTTCCTCCGCTGCCGTGTTTCCCAGGTGGTCCTCTCACTCCCTGTGACTCGGTGTCCCCGTTAGGAAAATGCGTCGATTGGCCCCATGATTTCAAGGTACTTCTGTGACCTCATGCTCCTGTGGACAGGCCTCTGTGACCCGACCCATGCTGCAGCACTGCAGACTCCCCTGCCGCCCCCGTCAGCCCCCTCCCATTGTCTGGTCACTTTGGGAAGTTCCACCCTCTCCGGCAGAGTTCACGGTCCCATATGATGGTCAGGAAGTCCTTGCCGTGAAGCTCAGAGAGAAGGCAGATTTGGGCTGCAAGCCTGAAAAAGAGTTCATGAAATTTAATCAGATGCCTAAGGGGGACACCTAAATTTAGTCAAATTATTATTAGTATTCATTCCATTTTTAAATCGCCTAGGGGAACATCGCCTGAAAAGTTGGGAAACCACCCGCCTGGGCGGTGACCATCCTGTGTCTGTAGAGCCGTGGGAGCTCCAGGGACGGCACGGGTCCTGACAACCGCACGCTTGCACAGGGGGCACCCACGCTGGGAGCCAGAGGGTCCGAGGAGGAGTGGGTGCCCACAGTGGGTCAGGCAAGCCTGAAGGTTTCCTGTATATGCCTGTGACGGTCCCGCAGGAAACCACACATCGACCTAGGTCCAGGCTCTGGCGTGGGAGCCCACCACCCACAGCAAGGGCCCCCGGTCAGTGACAGCCCCCCACCAAGTCTGCTCCTAGTAATAGTTACCTTGTTTCTTAGTTACTGCCTTACCTCTGCGGGTCCTGTAGTGTGGGGCTGACTTTTTGGTGGACATGAAAAGTCCCTGAACAGGCAGGCATGTGGAGGAGAACAGGGTCCCTTCCGGATCCCGGTAACCCTGTGTGATTTGGGGGCCAACAGACTGTAGGGTGACTTTTCAGAGCTGATGGCCGACTCCAGGCATTTTTTGCAGAAAAACCAGGCAAGGCCCACGTGGCGTCTTTTCATTGCATGAAATCACCTGACCTGTGAGAGAGCCAGCCTTCTTTGTCTCCCCAAATGGTACCTAGGTGACAGGGGGGTGTTTGGTCCCCAGAACCGGCCCGGGAACATTTTCACACCCAGGTGCTCCCTCTCCTGCCCTCCCCTTTTCCCTGAGCATCAAGTTGTTGGTTTGCGTCGGGTGTAACTTTACTTTGAAAGGGTCACGTGACTGACCGGTGGGCTGGACTGGGTCTGAACCTGGGGATGCCCAAGTCTCAGTCTCTGTTGGGCATTAGAGGAGGGGATGTGCACCAGCCTCAAGCATGCAGTTGCTGACTCACGGGGCCTTGCTCTGTCAGGGGCCCAAGCTTGCTGGGACTCGGGTCGCTCCTCATTTGCAGTGGGTCCTAGGGAACCTCCCACGTTGGACCCTGAACGGGCTGGGCACGTGCGGCTAATGAGAGCACTTTGTTTTAGAAATATCCTGTTTTTTATCCATGTGAAATTCCAGTCAAATCTGGGGGGGACACATGTGCAACTCTGCCTTTCGTTCTTGTTGAGTTCAGAAAGATCCATGCGCGGCTGACTTTGCAGTCAGGGATTTCCAGGATGAAATCGGAGGGGAATGGAGCAGTTGGTTCTCAAAAGCCTGGTTCGGTAGCAGCTAGGCGTGGTCTCCAGGCTGCTGGGGCTATTAATTATTTTGCATTATTTATTAGATGTACCCAGCGTCCCTTAGCCTCCAAGCATATTTGCAAATGCCTTCAGGGAAAAAGAAAAACAAATGATTCCTGCCATCAGAGTCTCCAGTCCGTAATGGATGGCACCGTGTAATCACGTTAAGGAGGAAAGCCCCGTGTAGCTTCCGTGTGCAGCCTGAGTCTACCTGCGAGGCGGTTATAAATGCATCTGACGCACGGAAGCACAGACTTGTGAAAGCAGCTGGGTTATTTAAGTAAAATTGTTCTTAATGTTACTTGGAAATCTGACGACGTCGTTCTCTGTAACTCAGAAAAATGTAAAATAAAAACAGCACCCAGAGGTCGGGTGCACCCTCTCTTCCTGTGGGCAGTGCCTTCGTGCCAGCCCGGCGCTGCTCCCCGGGGGTTGGGGGTGGGGTGGGCGATGGAGAAGTAAGACCCGGCCTGGTTCTTTTCCTAAATTGCGCTGGTAATAAGCCTGAACAACTCCCCTCCTCCCCGTGATTTACACCTTTCATAATTAGCCCTGCGCGCGCTCACGTGGCATCAGGGACACAGCGGAGACGATTGTCCGGGCGAGGCGCTGTCCTCCAGCCTCCAGCGGCGCTGGGCTCCCGGAGCCAAGTGATTCATGCCCCGCTCGGCCTGCCTGTCCCCACCGCGGCTGAGGGGAAAGCCAGGGTGGTCTCAGATGTAGATTGATGACACTCCCAGCTCCGCCACCGTGTCTGGGGGGCTGGGATAGCGGAATCTGCAGGGCCTCTGATCCCTGCCATTTGAGGGCTCGGAAAGCTGAGAAGGCCCCACCCTGACGGCAGAAGCAGCCACCATCATCCAGGTTGGCCGCTCTGGCCGCTCTGGCCAGCCGGCTCCGGAAGCGATGTCGGTTGACTGCCCCGCCCAGGTGGCTCTGCCAGCCCACGCCAGCACCGGCCGCCCCCGCGGTCAGCTGGAACCAGGCAGAGTCCAGCCCAGCACGAGGACGGATCCAAAGCTGTCTGTGTGCGCGGTGGTGACCACTGTGGTCTGCCTTGGTTTTGTCTGGAACAGTCGGCTTGGTGTGCATTTTAGAAACTGCTGGAATCTGAGGGCCTGATGGGGCCTCGGAGACCAGGGTCCAGCCACTGACACCTCCGTTTCACAGGCAGAGAAATTAAGGTGCAGAGAGCGACTTCCTCCGTCATCTGCCCGCTTCCCCAACAGGGCAAACGTGCAGAGACAGCGCAGACACCATCCCTCCTGTGGGGCGTGACATGTCGGTCTAGCATAGGTGCCGGGAAAGGGCCCAGGGCCGGGGGTGAGGGGTCAGGGAAGGTGGGCTCCCTGTCAGTGGAGTCAGAGACCCAGAGGTGGAGGCGGGGGCTCCGCGCCAGCCCCTTCCCACCCACCCGCTCTTGCTTCACGTAGCCCCGGTGGCCCCCAGGGTCAGGGTGCAGGGAACATGGGACAGAATGTTCTCTCCCTAAAGTCCCGTGTCACCCCAACCCCTCACTCACAGAGGGCTCGGTCAGGCTCCAGAGGTAAGAAGAGTGGAGAAGAGCAGGGGAGGTGACACACATGCGACGGCCGAGGGCTGGGGAGTGTTGGAAGGCTGAGGACGGCCTGCCCGGGACTGACTGTCCAATAGCCAAGGACAGTTGCCAGGTTGGCAAGTTGTCCCTGACGAGCTGGTCTGTCCTGCAGCCACATCTCTGCACACCTCCCCTCCCACCACCCCGTTTTACAGATGAAGACCGAGGCCCAGCAGAGGTGGGTAACTGGGCGGAGACCACACGGGCTGGATAAGGGGCCCGGCCAGTAATGGGTACCAGCCTTCCTGGCGCCCCACCTGCAGAGGGAGGATCTCCTGTCGGGCTTGTCTTCTGCTGGGAGGGTGTGGGCACACCGTACACATGCCTGATGCGGTCATTCGTGTTTCAGATATTTACACACACACACACACACACACACACACACACACACACACACACACACACGTCCTGCTGCGGCCTGTCCACTGCTGTGACCCATGCCCTTTTCTCTTTCAAATTCTTCTTCCATAGAAGAGTTGGCTACTTATTAGTTTGCCCACGTTTGAAAGATCTGTATGAGAAAAATGCCTCATGTGTGGAATGTGATAGAGACTAAAGAGATGCACTCCCTGCTGCAAAGGGACGACTCAGTGTCATGGTCGTGGCAAGCGTGGCCTCAAGCCAGGCCTGGGCCTCCGTGGGCCTCAGTTTTCCCATCTGAAAAGTGGGCGTGCCGAGTGCCTTGAGGACCCTGCACAAACCTGTAGAGCTCAACTGCTCCTTACGTGTCGGCTCGTATTTTGTCCCATCATTTCAGCTTTGTCAGGGCAAGGTGCAGTTAGTGAGGTCAGGATCACAGCTGATCTGTGTGTGTTCTACTTAGCACCACAGGAACAAAGCAGAACTCAGAAATGCCCCACCTGTACGGCCAGCGGTGAGTACCGGCCACCTGGCCTTCCTGTCACTGCGTGGTGTCCCCCACGTCCTGGCTGGCTGCCTTGCTGGGGCATGAGCAGAAGCTTTGAGGGTGCAGGATGTTGGTCTAGTGATGGAGAGCACCCCCGCCGAGGCCAGTGTCTCCCTAGAACCCAGAGGCTCTTCCAGGTTTCTGCAGAGACCCCATCCATTCGAAAGTGGCTTCAAAACAGCCCCACGTGCCATGGTTCGCCCCAAAGTGGCTGATATAGGCATTGCCAGAAATTGCATTTGTGCCCAGGGCCCGAGGGACGCATTCATGGGCCACCAGCACAGGTGGGGTTGTTGGGGCCTGAAGCTGCGGGCAGGGGGTGACGGACTAGGGCCGGCTGCAGACGGGTGAAGTGGCCTGTCGTCCCGCGTCAGCATGGGCCTGCGTGCAGCTGCAGCGCTCTCAGTGCCCCCTCCTCCGTTATGGACCCTTTGACACCCAGGCACGGGCTCCAAGAGCATTCCCGGCGCCCCAGGTTTCACTCTTTCCAGCAATCTTTTTGTCTGATGATGAAGGAGTCTTCACAAGGGCTTGAAGAGGACCTGGCTGGCCCAGGGCAGCTTCTTACGTAGGTGCTATAGGAGGCGAGGGTCCGAGAAAGCCTACAGCCAGTGGCGGCTGTGTGTGCACTCCGGCAGCGGCCACGGCAAAAATGCCAGTTGCACAGGAGTTTCCATCTGGGTGGAGTTCGGAGGGGCAAACCCCTCAGGCTGTCCTGGGCTATCTTGACACCGACCTTACCAAATGGGAAGAAAAAAAACGATACAAAACAAAAACAGTGCTTTCCCCAAAGCCCTGCTGCTGGGAGGGAGTGCTGCAGACCGTGTTTTTTGGGACTTCGTGGACCTTGCCTGCAGCAGGTCACACATTCCTCTTAGTGTCCGCTGCCCGTGGGGACAGAATTCGTGAAGAAGTGGTAGAACAGCCAGCTGCTTCCACGGGCTCCTCAAACGTAAGGCCGTGGCTTCAGAGCGGTGCCCCACATACGTGCAGAGGCCGGCAGACACCCCCCAACACACCCCGGCCCTGGTCAGTGATGGGGGACCGATCGAGGCTGGATAAGGAGATGGACAGGGAGACTGCCGCACAGTCACTTTGAACGCGAGGTGGCCAGCCTTCTAGCCACTCTCTCGATGTTCCCAAAGCCATTCCATGAACTCTTCATCATCCTCAGGGTAAACCAAAGCAGCCCCCAAGGGCCACTCGCGTGAGCAGAGCGTCCCACGGTGCCACCTGTTGGTGGCCTCACACGGGGCCCTGGGCTGGCCAGCCCTACGGCTAATCCAACACGGCATCATATCTGAGAGAAACAGGAATGATGAGAAAACATACTTTGGGGTGGAGAAAACTGAGAAATTCTAAAGCAGTAATCCAGTGTGTATTATTATTATATTATTATTATAATAAAATACACATAGCATAAAATTTACCACCTTAACCACATTTAAGTGTACAAGTTCACTGGCATTAAGTACATCCGCGTGGTTGTGCAAACCTATTGACCATAAATGAACTTCTGGACTCTCAATTGTATTCCATTGGTCCATATGTCTATCCTTATGGTAGTACCATAGAGTGTTTTTTTGTTTTTGTTTTTAAGATTTTATTGGGGAATTAGGGGAAGGGGAACAGACAAGTTGCTGTCGTTTTGTTCTTTAGTCTAGTTGTGGAGGACATTGCTTCACTGGCCCAAGTTGGCACCATCATTGCGCTCTTCCCGGGTGAGGCAGATCAGTCGCCGGCTTCTGGACGGCCACTCACGGTGGCTGCTGGCCGCTCACGCTGGCTGCTGGCTACACACGGTAGCCCATGGCAACCCACTGCCACAGGGGCTGCAGCCCACGCCGTCGCCGGCGACTCACGGCAGCCCAGCTCCAGGTTGAGCTGTTGTTCAGCATCTTAGCTGTAGAGGGCAGTGTCACTGGCCCTCATATGTGGGATCCGAACCGGGACCCTCTGGCATCCCAAGCCAGCTCTTAACCAACGCGCCACTCGGCCGGCCCCCTTGCATTTTCATATGTATTTTAGGATCAGCTTGTCAATATCTGCAAAAAAGGCAGCTAAGATTTTGATAGGGATTGTGTTGAATCTATGGATCAATTTGGGGAGTGGTGTTGCCATCTTAACAATATTAAGTCTTGCAAACCATGAACACAGGATGACTTTCCATTCATTTAGGTCTTCTTTAATTTGTTTCAACAATGTGTTCAGTTTTTAGTGTACAAGTCTTTTGTGTGTGTGTGTGTGTGTGTGTGTGTGTGTGTGCACGCACGCGAGCGTGCATGCTGTAAATGGAGTTGTTTTCTTAATTTTGTTTTTGTATTGTTCATTGCTAGTGCATAGAAATGCAACTAATTTTTTTTTTAAGATTTTTATTGGGGAACAGTGCTGGGGAATTGGGGGAAGGGGAACAGCAAGTTGCTGTCATTTTTTGTTCTTTAGTCTAGTTGTGGAGGACGTTGCTTCACTGGCCCAAGTTGGCACCATCATTGCGCTCTTCCCGGGCGAGACAGATCAGTCGCCGGCTTCTGGACTGCCGTTCACGGCGGCTGCTGGCCGCTCACGCTGGCTGCTGGCTACATACGGTAGCACATGGCAATCCTCTGCCCCAGGGGCTGCAGCCTAGCCGTCGCCAGTGACCCACGGGCAGCCCAGCTCCAGGTTGAGCTGCTGTTCAGCATCTTAGCTGTGGAGGGCAGTGTCACTGGCCCTCATATGTGGGATCCGAACCGGGGCCCTCTGGTGTCCCAAGCCAGTTCTTAACTGTTGTGCCACTCGGCCGGCCCACAACTAATTTTTATATGTTGATCTTATATCCTACAACTTGGCTGAATTCATGTATTAGTTCTGATAGGTTTCTTGGGCGTGGGTATGAATTCCTAAGGATAGTCTATATGCAAGAGCATGTCATCTGTGGATAGAAATAGTTTTACTTCTTCCTTTCCAATCCGGGTGCCTTTTATTTCTTTTCTTGCCTAATTGCCCTGAGTAGAACCTCCAGACAACATTGAATTGACTTGGAGAGAGGGGACATCCTTGTCTTGTTCCTGATCTTTGGGGGAAAGACGTCAGTCCTCCCCCATTGAGTGTGACGTTAGCTGTGGGCTTTTCATGGATGCCTTTTGTCAGTTGGAGGAAGTTCCTTTCTATTTTTAGTTTGGTAAGTGTTTTCATCATGAAAAGGTGTTGGATTTTTGTCAAATGTGTTTTGTGCGCCTATCGAGATGATTGCATGCCTTTTGTCCTTTATTCTATTAATCTGCTGTGTTACGTTGATTGATCGTGATGTGTTGAACCACCCTTGCATTCCTGGCATAAAGCCCACTCGGTCATGGTGCATAATCCTTTTTATGTG